CAAAAGGTATAAGTCCATTCCCTCTAAATCAAAACTACCAACCAGACATAAAGACTTGTAATCATTCCATTCCCTAATTCCAAAACCTATAAACTAAACACCCTTACACTTAAAAGAATAATTAAACACATGTAATCCAAGCTAGTTCAAACTCAAATGGAAATGGAGATCCACTTCCTAATGGTTAAATTCACATATCTCAAGTATAAATTCTCATTGTGTTAAGTTGTTTTTTTGCATGTTAGTTTTGTTCCTACGAATAATCCTAGGTAAAGAAATTATTTTGAACTATATAAATATAATTGGTAATCTTACTGTGGGATATATTCTTTTAATAAGGCATATAAAGGCGATGAACAAAAATATAAAATCAACATGATGTGGTTCCTCAAGGCATAGTGCATTAAACTATTATGCTGCACCCAACAAAATCATAAGGTTCTATTTAAACATTATGATAATTTTGGGAACAATCATAATTATGTCCAATACTATAATCTTAAAATATATATTACGATCCCTCCAAAAAGTAATCCTAATATATTCATTCAAATGTATATTGTTAGTATTTTATGGATTACTACTATATCACTAATACTTTATATTTGATAACAAATATTGTACTAATATTTACGGACAAGAAGATTATAGTAGTTGTTTAAAAAATTACGTCAAAAATTTAACGCCAAGATTGGGATTATTACTATTTTTTTGTGATAAATTAAATTGGGAATTAGCTTATGTAGTTTCGCTATTCAGTTTGGTCCTGCTAATGGCCTCTACAATTTTTTTTTTTTTGGGACATTTTTATTTTATTCTCTGCTTTTTACTGCATCTCTCGCAACTGATGAATTGTGTATCGAACAATTAATCTAAAACAGATGTAGTAGATAACGTATGCATCAAAGCAATCTAAATACAGCAAGCATTCGAATGTACCAACAAAAGTCAACACATTGATGATTACATTTGATAAGTTTTGGTTTTCCCATTGTCTCTAAAATAATAACCAACTTTTTGCTTTTTAATTTTACGAACGGGACACATCTTTTTGGAGTAATTAAATTGCTTATAAGCACATTTCACTCATAGTTCGACGGTGTAAACAGAGCGGGCAATCATGTCTCGGCACAAACGGTTACGCGGTACTATGAGACATGGTTCCGGAAGCGACTAAAAGTTTGACGGTTACGCATTGTATATTACTTGTGACACTGCCCTGCGTATTTTATTCTACATTAACTTTAAATAAATTGGAAGGTAAAAGAGTTAACAAGTTGCGGTCGTAGCTCAAGTTGTAGACCACCCGCGCAGCAAGCAATTAATACGGGGTTCGATACCGCGCATCTCCCCTCCATGGGGATTGTAGCTTCTCAAGTTGAGCGCTTGCTTTGTTTTTTTTTAAAGGAAAGAAAGAAAAAATAAGGTTCCATTCAGTTAAAAAAAAAGAAAAAAAAGGAAAAAAAAAAAAAAAGGAGCAAACTGAAGATTAATAAAGTCATATTCCGTAGCAAATGATTTCAACATTTAACTTTGACAAAGTTCCATTGAGCAACATGTAATGCCTATTTACTCATTATCTTTACAGAGGACAATCCAAGCTCATTCACAGCTCTAGAGACGAATTTGGTAAATATTTCCAACCGTCGGTTACACATTCCTAGAGACGTTAACAAATGCACATCCAAAGGCTAACCTAATCGTTCCAGGACACAAACAAATATATTTACACAAAGTGCATTCCACGGAAAACGATAGCACTGAAGAAAACAATAAGAATTAATTAAAAAAACATGTATTGTATTACTTACTTATAAAGTGTGTACGGATAGTCAAACAAAAGCAGTAAAAGTTTTGTTATTCAGCTAAAAGGAAGGATTCATTAAATCATTTATGCCGACCATGGTTTACCAAGAACTATAAGATACAAACCTACACAAAAAGCATTGGCGAGTGTAAATCCTGATGATGATGATGGTGAGTCAACGGTCTAATTCGAACGTGAACTTGCAAGATAAGGGTTAGTATTCTGAAAATTAAGTTAGTGTTAGTGAGAGAAAGTCTAATGACACATTTTAAGAGAGAGAAACAAAGTTTGAAATTAAATAAGTAATAAATGATCATTAGGTATTTATAGTGCTCAATGAAACAATGGGCTAAAGAAGAGAGGAAAACTTATCAGGCATTCAATTGGCCATTTGGGCCGGTGAAAAGCCTATCCGGTTACCTTTAATCGGGCCAGTCAGGATTAATCTTCTTCAGACATAAATTATAAGGTTACTTTACAAATTTGATCACCTATACAAACTACTGTCTTGAATTAGCTCACTCGTTCCTTCTTTCTTTTCTAAAACTTGTTTCTACACGTTGCTATTACATCAAAGATTACATTTGTGTTATGGCATTTGAAATAGTAAGGTGGATTTTGTAAATTTCGGGTAAAACAGTATATTTCTGTATTTCTGAAATTTAAAATTGAAAATGATTCAAGTGGTCAGCCTTAAGGCCTTGAATGTTCACCTTCTAGAGACTATTCTCACTTGAACGTTGTTTGGTGCAAACTGAAACAAAACCTCTTTTTATTATTTGCATTTTGAACCAAGAAAAAAAGAAAAAATAATATACAGAAAATCTAAATTTTGAATCCCTCTGTTTGGAGGCATGTTTCTACCATCCCTGAACTTTTTTATATGAATTATTTCTTTCTTCAGCGTAGTTTAGAACTTCAGTTTGTACAGGTCATTAAATACGTTTGTAATTTGTTTGAAAAACTGAATTTAAACACCATGTGTGAGACCCGAGAATTTTAGGAATTAGCTAAGTAAAGCAGATGTTAAAATAAATACTCCTTCCGTCCCAAAATTATTGTCCAGTTTGAGATTTCACTTTTAATACAATTTGAACTAGAAATGAAAACTCAAACTAGACAATAATTATGACACAAAGGGAGTACAACAAGTAGGATTGAGATAAAACTAAGCTACTTGAAAGACACAAAACAATTGAAAATTAAAAATAATTAATTTGATATCATAGCAACTTCGATTTCCTTTTCTTCTAACCATCTTTTCTTGTGACTGTGTATGTTATTCATTAGCCCAATAACCACTATCTCTAATTCATAAATTGTGCCCAGATTTGTTTCATGCCCAGCCCTCTTGGGTTTAAAGTTTTCTTGCAAAATAAAGGCATAAAATGTCCAAACCGTTGTTATAAGTCAGTGCCTTTATTGTTGTGATTTACATAATTTAGCTTATGTTAAACTACAATGTAATAAAATATAGACATTTTGAATTAATATATAAGTACCGTTTTTAAAAAAAAAAAGTCAATGGCTTTGTTTCTCAAATAATTCCCAAATCTGATTTTTAATAACCCAAAACCCAACCCCACCGTCATCCTCCTCGCTGTTCTTCTTGCTTCTTCACCATTTTCAGCAACATCATTGACAATCTTCCTGCCATCTTTTACACCATTTCTTCGTTCCTTGGTAACACAATTTGAAAGACGGAAAGGGGGAATTAATTTGATGGCCTAAAGAGAGGAAGAAATGGAGAAGAGAGAAAAGAGAAGGTAAATGTGAAGTAGATTTCTGTTCTTCTCAGTTTTGATTTAGTTCACATTTGCAGTAATTTGATTTCATTAGTATAAATTGAATAACCCCGAAGTAGTTTAGGGCTGTTAATTAATAAAAGGAATGAAAGTGTGTGTTTGCCTATTAATTTTGGGGGATCACTTATAGATGTCCCGGTAGCTTTGGTGTTTGTAAGTTTTAGCTCTAGCTTTGGTGTTCACAAATCTTTTTTGTTTTCTGCAATTTTCCACAGGAATGTATTGTATCATCTTTCTGTTGGCGCATTTGGTAGTTGACCCGTTTTTTCAAAAGTGGAGGATTTTTTTTTATATTAGATCAAACCTTGGGAGTGTTTTTGATATTAACCCAAATGAATAAAGTCGGACTGGGGGCCGATATTCATGCCTAAGTGCCAAACAACCTACGTCTCTAATGTTCGTAGTCATCGTTTACTATACATCTCTATCTATCAGAGCTGGTTGGTATAAATGAAGATTCGAAATTGACTCACTCTTACTTGCTCTCGTATTTCTGGGCCAGCATTTGCATTTGGGATTCAGGTAAACTTGAGTTTTTCGAATTTTATTTAATTTGTGTTGCAATCTGTGGTCAAATTATTGTTTTTACATTGCTTTTGTTCCGAATTTAGAACCTGGGTTCTCCCAATTTAATTGTCTCTGAATGAGCGTTGAGTTTGGAAAAAAAAAAATAAAAATGAAATCTTTGATTTTGGTGGGTTTTGCTTTCTCTTTCTGTTGCATTTCATCTATAAAGGAATCATACCATTTCCGGGACTTGTGCTTTGGGTTCTCTTCATTTTGTTTCCTTTCCAGAATGTTGTGTTGTAAATGTTGGATTTCTAATTTTGGGTTTCGCTTGTATTGACTTTTATGTTGGACAATTCATGGTTTCACCTTTCCTCATCTATGCTTCAAGCGGGTAGACTCTGCTAATTACAATGAGTTCAATCAGGGTTTTAAATGACAGTTGAAGTTCTTCATACTTGTTTCTTTAAACTTAGCTTTCTAATCCCAGAGTGTAGGTGAATTTGAGCGTAAAACAAAATGTGGATGTGCATCTTCCAATCTGAATTTCCTAATTTAAGGTGGTCAAGCATATTCGTCTAAACTTTCAACAATTGTTCATTCCATGGCCACCATGAACTAGGCTTTTGCTGCTCCTGGGATTCTATTTTTAGGTTTGATGAATTTATAGAAGGTCTGTTTTTTGGAGAAGCATGTGATAATTTGTTGTTTGAACTGTCCATCTCCAGATCTTGCCCAGATATACGAGGATTTTAGTTGGTCACGGCATTTCACTTGTTGCTTTTGTAGTAACCGGGTATAGCTCCTGAAGTACTGGATTGATAACAATAAACTAAGTCACTAGGGCATGACTGATTGATATCCTTTGAACTGAAGGAAAAATGGGATTCTCGAAATTTCCTGTGCGTTATGGGATCGTGCTCTTGACTTTTGTCTGCACTTTCGTCTGTTACATAGAACGCGTGGGGTTTTCTATAGCTTACACTATTGCAGCTGATGCTGCAAATGTAAATCAAACAAGCAAAGGCATGATACTTTCTACATTTTATTATGGTTATGCTTGTTCCCAAGTGCCTGGTGGTTGGGCAGCTCAAAAAGTTGGGGGTAGGCGAGTTCTCCTTCTTTCGTTCGTGCTGTGGTCTGCCACTTGTGCTCTGGTACCACTAGATCCGAACCGAGTACTGCTGTTGGTTATTGCTCGCTTGCTTGTTGGTGTGGCTCAGGGATTTATATTTCCTTCTATACACACTGTGCTTGCACAGTGGGTGCCTCCACATGAGAGATCAAGATCAGTATCTCTTACTACATCTGGAATGTATTTTGGTGCTGCAGTTGGAATGCTCATTCTTCCTACCGTTGTGAAGTTTTGGGGTCCTCAATCTGTATTTCTGGCCGAAGCTGCCCTAGGTGCCTGGTGGTCTCTACTTTGGTACAAGTATTCCAGTGATCCACCACGATCTGAGCATCCAAAAGCAACTGCTGCTGGTTTTGGGGAGACCCTGCTACCTGTGAAAGGGCATCAAAAGACAAAATTACAAAATGGAGGACATTCAGTTAGAACTCAAAGCATTCCATGGAGGAAAATTACCCTCAGCCTTCCTGTGTGGGCAATTGTTGTGAATAATTTCACTTTTCATTATGCTCTTTATGTGCTTATGAACTGGCTTCCTACGTACTTTGAATTAGGTCTTCAGCTTAGTCTTCAAGAAATGGGTTCTTCAAAGATGATGCCTTACTTTAACATGTTTATGTTTTCAAATATTGGTGGGGTGATTGCTGATCACTTGATCACAAGACGAATCCTCTGTGTCACTAAAACAAGAAAACTTCTAAATACTGTTGGATTTCTTGTCGCATCTATTGCCCTGGTGACTCTTCCTTACTTCAGAACGTCGGATGGAGTTGTGTTTTGTTCTTCTGTGGCTCTTGGCTTCTTGGCTTTGGGAAGAGCTGGATTCGCCGTTAACCATATGGATATTGCTCCGAGATATGCTGGAATAGTGATGGGGGTTTCTAATACAGCTGGTACTTTAGCTGGGATAGTAGGTGTAGATCTTACTGGCCGACTCCTGGAAGCTGCTAAAGCTGCTAACTTGGACCTAACTAGCCCAGATAGCTGGAAAGCAGTGTTTTCAATCCCTGGCATTCTTTGTGTATTGAGCTCTTTTGTTTTTCTGCTATTTTCTACTGGAGAAAGAGTTTTTGACTGAATAAGGTGGTCATTAATTTGCACATCAGAGCATATGAGTTCTTATTCTGGAGCTGGCCATCTGTACATGACTATCTCACAGGACATTTATTGATGTCGAATTCTCAATCTGTTCCACAATGTTTGAAGCATAGAGAAGCTGATGAAGTCAAAATACTAAAACCTTTGAATCAGTTTGCTACCTCGTCGAATTTTGTCAGTGTGGTAATTTAGAATGATGTACAATCTCTTGGGGTTTTGCTTCTACACCATAGTGGCATAGCCTGCTGGTTGGTTCGGATTGGTAACTATTTCTGTTTCTGTTCTTTTCCCATCTTCTACAGTTACTGTTGGTTAGGAAGACCTTGATCAGTTATGATTGTATACTGTACAATATGATATTTACTAATCTGAACATGTTAGAATGCTGAGCACATTTATTTTGTTCCACGAGTTGTACACGCGGAATTAATTTATGAAAGATGAATGCAACAAGTTATTATTAATGCTTAAAGAGTATTTTGTTCTTTACCTATTTGTGAAATTATTTCAAGTTGCAAGTGATTTTACTTCTGATAGAATCTCATTTACAATTTGTACATTTGAATTCTGAATTGCCGTTAGTGTCTATATATATTGAACTCTGTTTTTTTCAAGATTCTTAGACTCTGCTGACACACGTGTATGCTGAAATAAAAAAGTCATCTGAACTACTGAAGAAGAAAAACATTGACCCATTTTGGGTAATTATGTGGTAAATCTTTTTAATGGTTATTTTTGTTTGTAACATGGTTTTAACACTCAGAACATGTGGTTATTATCAAAGTTCTGCAGATAGTTCTTGTGCGGTTTCTTGTTCTGCTTTGGTACTTCCTTTTATACCCACCCTTGCTGAGTAACGTGATTAACAGTCTGACTGGTACAAAAGAGTCTATCAAAGGGGCTAAAAATTGGTTCATGCAGCCCTTGCTGAGGCACTGAGACAGAATTTTCTCTTTGGATGATGCAGAGAGACAACTTCATATCATTTACCTTGCTAATGACATCCTTTTTGATAGGTATCTTGTTTTGTTTCTGTTCAGACCGTTTATATCCTTCTGGCCTCTGTTTTCATTTCATTGTTCTTTGTCATCTTCTGCTATCCATAAGATTGCATATTTAGTTGAATTTCCCTTTTAAATAGTTGAGTTTGACAATATGTTTTAATGGATATGCTGCTGCTCTATTTTAATCTGCATGTAGAAGTTCCAATTAAAATGAGTTATTAAATAGTAGAGGAACTGATTTTGTTAATGAGGCCATGTGGTCTTGTCAAAGAGTTACTTCTATCATCTTGGGTTTCCCCTACCCCACACCCCCCCTCCTGTTTTTTTTTTTTAATTGCATAGTAGCTGTCCAGTTTCCAACATTACTTCCTATAGTCTGAACCTATTTGAGGCTTGCGATTTTCATGATCAAATTATTTTTGTTGTTTGAAGTCGTTTCTGGTCAGCTTAAAAGGCGGGGGAAATGATTTAAAAATAGCTTATGCTAAGGGTACATATTTGTAAGGGCATTAACCTGTAGATGCCCATGAATCTTAGAACGTGATTGAATAAGACTCTTCTGAGAGATACAAGTTTCATTTTATAGATTCCTTTACCGATGATTGAATAAGCAGTAAATGTGACTCCTTACATCTTGTAGATAGAACATTGAAAGGAAATAATGTAGTGCATGGATCAGGAGAACAAGCCTTAGAGAACACTGATTCACTATTTCAGCTGGTGATAAAATATTGTTCTTCTAGTTTATTAATGAAGAGAACTGGCACGCATGAATCAAAGTTATTTGAATCTTGAAATGGCTAAAATGCATCTGTTTTGCTGTCTTTGTAAATTCTACCCTTGCATGGTGTGGAACTGGTGATTAATTCTCTTGAAATGGCTAAAATGCATCAGTTCTCTTCCAGGAATATGTTGTTCAGCATCCCTAAGTGATCAGCATTAATGCTTACCACTTGCAATTGCAGTGAGCATCTGTTGGAGATTAAACTGAATGAAAAATATTATTCCTGGACTTAATACTGCTTTTTGATGATACCTTTGTTTCCAGGTGCCCCTGCTATTAGTTCTCCCCTCTCCCCCTCCCGTCCCTTTCTTGTTTGTTTGTTGATTTGACTTGGTAATCTACAGTTTGTAGCAGATAGGATCGAAGTTCCAGTTGAAATTTAGTCTACTTAATGGATGGAAGAATTTTAGTACCTTGGATTTGCAATGTGGGAAATAATATAAGGCTTCATAAAATGTTGCTCTTTTTGTTTACTTCTCTATGGATCAGCAATTTTATGAGAAACATAACAACACCAGTCTCCAGAAGTTCATAGAATATTATGGTCCACGTATAAAGGTGTGAATTGGCTATAGCATGGTGTTTACTTTTAATTTTTTTTTTTATTATTTAAAGAGTATGGTGTTTACTTGTGTTTCTTTTAAGGTGTTGGGATATTTTTGTGTAACTCTTTGATCTAAGTATTAGGGCTTGTGAACATCAGCAAATGATACCAATAATTGTAACATTTGTCAAACTTGCTGATCTTTCGTGCTGAACAGGGTGTGATTTCGCTCCTTTTTTCCCGGTTTGTTTTTTGTTCTTTCTTGAGCATCTAGCCCCTTACAATTGATTTTAATTTGCAGATCTGAGTCTCTGTGTGTATGTACTTTCTTAAGGTTATTGTTGGACTGTTCTTTATGTGAAGCTATGTGCATATTCTGCAATAAAATTCTGTGTCGGTTGTGGCTCTTTTTCTTGTTGGCCAGTAGCACTTCTTGACACATTTACCATCTGCCTTCTGCATTTTCCAGAGACGGTCGACACCACATGAACTCGATAATGAGGCGCTGGCATTTAGACCTGTTTTAGGGTCTATGCTAGCAAGGATCTACCACAATCCTCAGAATAAAGAAGAAAACCGGTCACGCCTTCAAAAGATTTTACAATTCTGGGCGTCGAAGGAGGTTTATGATCAAGAGACTATTCGTGGACCTGAGAATGAAATGATCCGAGGTCAACCCATGAATTCTTTCCCGGTTCAAAGGGGCACTATATCACCAGATCCTTCTGCCTCTGCAGGTATGCTTATACAATCATTGTTTTTTCTGTTCTGGAAGGTGGTTTCGAATTCGCATGCTGCAGGTCTCCATGCAGATTTTAGCCATGTTATTTGTCCTGGATGTTTCTTTGTGGTCTCTGATTTTGTTGATAACTTTTTATTCATACAGGTCTGGCGAACCAGGTGACAAATCACAATGCGTGGCAGCTAAATAAACAAAGTCCATTTCCAGTTTTATCAAGACCAAGATTATCGGGATAAACAACTCCCTCCTCCACAACCATCTTTGGCTCCCCAACAGTTTCCTCATTCAGTTCCTCCCATTGGGTTTCTTGATTCCTCTTTCTGCTTAGACAGCAACCCAATTGCCACCACCAACCTCTGGTGTTACTGAAAAACTGCAACCATACCCTTTATTTCCACCTTGTCTTATACCTGGAATGGTTAGGAAAATGCAGATTGGTAGTGGAGTGCCTTACTCTCCCATGAGCCCTTCGGATATCCCAACTGTTATTCCGCCTTCAAATGTATCTCCGACTGAAGTTCTTGAAAGGGTGTCAAAGTTTTTCAGAGAAATTGGAGAAGTTAACCCGTCAGAGGGACCCATGAGAGGATCCGAGTCCAAGGACAATTATGATGACTACGAGAGGGACTCTCCTATCCGTAAAGGAGGAGCTTGCAGTTTCCCTCCTCCAGATCTGCAAGTGGACGCAGAAACAGGCACTTTACCTGATGGAAGTGTTGAGGGGAAGCCTGGATCCGTTTGGGGCTTGGCGCTTCAGCCAACCCTAATGAGGCTAGTCAGTACGATGATGTTTACACATCTTATAGGAAACAAAGAAGCACCAACTATCATACATCAATAAGTGCTAGAGCTACTGCTAGGAGGTTGTACAGTCAATGCAAAAAAACTGTAATTGGAGAAGAAAGCTTTGGTTTGATTCTGTAATCTGTATCTTCATCTCAATGAAATTTTTGCCATTTCCATTTTTCATTTGAAAGAATCTATTTAAATTTCAAAATTTGTCCAAATCTGCTTTTTCTGTCTTCCCTCTTTGATCTGTAACAAGTTTGAAAGCTTTTATGCAGGAACTGATGCAATGGGTACCCATCTTTTCCAGGTTTTTTTTTTTTTAAAAGAAAACATAAAATTTGTTTATCAGTCAATAGATCCATCTCAACTTTCTTCATTGATTGTTTTCTTTTCCCTCTTTAATCCCTGAATCACAATTGCTGCTTTGTGAATCATTGATCACTGGTTCAAAACTATGCAAATGTCCCTCCTCCATACCCTTGTGATGGAAGATGCACACAAAGGAGTGAATGCAAGAAATTCAAAATAAGCAACTTAGAGCCATGATGGATGATGCACACAAATGCTGACTTTCAGTGCAGCAGTGTATTATAATAAACTATCTTTAAGTCTAAATAATCGTCTTTACTCTATCTTTGGAGATTTTCTATGTTTCTTTTCTCCCTTTTATATCAAACTTGCTTTTGTTATGGCGGAATACTGAAGATATTTAATGTGTCAGCTGTCTTATGTACAATCATACAGTCTGAAACATTAACCTAATAAAAGTGTAATTTAAGAATAATGAATTTAAACAGAAGAGGGTATTAAGTTCAGTAGTCTATAAATACCGTTGATATCTACTCTGTTCTTGCATACCAACAAAAACCTATTCAAGAAGAAAGCCTTCTCTTTATCTTTTGTTTGAATTTCCAAATAGCCAATTCTGACAAAATGGTGAACATCACTTACAGCTATGATGCTCCTTCCTCAATTGCTCCGGCAAGGTTGTTCAAGTCCCTCATCCTTGATGACAACTTCCTTCCCAAGGCTGTGCCACAGGCGTTCAAGAGTGTCGAGAAAGTATCAGGCGATGGAGGTGTTGGTAGCATTTACCACATAACTTTCGGAGAAGGTTAGTTTGTAAAAATGAACACTTGATAAGGTATTCTGCAAGTTCTAAAGCGACATCAACATACTAATGATAACATTTTGAATGAGTTGTTTTACTGAATGAATTCAATGAAACGTTTGTCATGTATATGTGCACAAAACTGAAGGTGTTTCTGTGCTTTGTTGTTTATGCAGGTAGCCAGTTTAAGACCGCGAATCACAGAGTGGATGGACTCGACAAAGAGAACTACACCTGCACCTACACTGTAGTTGATGTCGAAGGCGCTGCAAGGAATGATGTGATTGAATCAGTTACATATGAACTGAAAATTGTACCTTCTGGTGATGGAGGATCAATCCTCAAGACTACCAGCATATACCACACAAAGGGTGATGCTCGGATCAGTGAGGAAGAAATCAAGCGTGCAAAGGAGCAGGGTTTTACCATGTTCAAGGCTGTTGAGGCTTACCTCAATGCAAACCCTGATGCCTATAACTAAGCTTAATTATTACTTGTTCTACTGGTCCACAAGTTATATGCTTTTTTCATGAATAAATTTGTACCCTCTAGAGTTTTTTTGTTTAGCTTGTTGCAAAAAAATTAGCAGCAAAATGGCTGTGAAATTGTGCCTACTTTGGGGTTTTTGGAGTGTTTGATTGTACTTTGTGGCAAGAGAGACAAATAAAATTCTAAATGCAATTGGCTATTTCATATATAGGTTTAGTTCACATTAGTACATTTAGTTCAACAGGGTAGACTACTAATATAAGACGACATATATTGTATCAAAGTAAAAATTGGAAAGGAAAGGAACAACAGAATTTTTAAAAATAAGAGAAGTTTTGAAACATGACATTTTTCTTAGAACAAAATATCAATGGAATCTTAAATTCCACAATAGGCAATCATTTTTCTTTTATCCTTGTAAGAAGAGCCCGTGAAAGTGAAATGAATGAATTCCAAGTGGTTGAATGGTTTAAACTTCAAAGGATGCTCTTCGTCAACAAGTTCTTCAGGTATTCGAATCATCCCATTGTAATATGAAGCTAGAGCAATTGACAATCTTATAGTTTCTCTAGAATTCCTTCTGACCCTATGCACAGTAGAATGGACTCTGCCATTGCTCCATGCCTGCTTAAAGTCAAGCAGAAGATTTGGATTAATAGCATGCATATCATAATATAAGATAGAGATAATTAATATTATAATGTCTTGCAAAATAGTTAATCCCTATAAAAAGGGTCTTATTTGTGGAAAAATTTTACTCTCTCCATTCCACAAAAATAATCCACATTGAGTTTTGAGTTTTGTACTGTTTTTAGTACAAATTTAAAAACTCAATGTGGACTATTTTTTTGGGACGGAAATAGTATTTTCAAAGACAATTACTAATAATGCATTTTGTAGCATCATTACGAAAATGTAACTATATGTTTAATAAATAAGTTTCTCTCAATAATCTTTGCTTATCACAAATTTTCAGAAGCTATGTATTTACAAAAGTAGACAGTTATTTTTAGACACTGTGAAAATGAAAAATTTGTTAAAGACTGGGGTATAAGTTAATAAATTTTCTCTCAATAATCTTTTTTTAGGTTGATCTTAGCCCTCATCCTTGTGGGACGAGTAGAGTAAAAATTTTGCACAGTAATGATAATGCCTAATATTTTTTTTTCCCCACATGTTAGATTTGAACATAATATTTATTTAGTACCAAAATTTAACAAACCAAAAAACACTTGAGCAAAAAATAACCCACAAAAAGCATATACCAGTAATGCATCACCAGCCATGACAAGGAAAGAAGATGGAGGTAAATCAACAGAAATCCAGCTCCCATCCTTTGATTTAACCTCTAAACCTGAGATTTGATTCTGCTGAATAAGTGTTATGAAAGTTGGATCAGTGTGTTCTTGAACACCTCCAAGCTCCTCATTCAACTGTGGGGGTCTATGTTTATTCAATGCAAGGAAATTAGAACACGATTCGTAGTATTGTACATGAAATTCCTTCACACCAAAGCTTTCAAAAATCATCCTCATCACCATTTTTTCTAGTTTTGATACTTCCTTGGTGTATGATTCAACAATCTCACTGCAAAATAGTTAAAAGTCCAGAAATCAATATTGATTCCATTTGGTTCAAACTGTAAAAGGAGGAATTAAGAAACTGTTAGAAAATTTGGTGCTTAATTAACTATGTTGTGGACCACTGGTTCTAATTAATTAATGAAGCATTTTAGTTTTCTCATGTATCAATGATGTTTGATGGTTCAGTTACTTAAATGATCCTAACTTATACTACAAGTTTTAAAATTCTTTTTTCGGTAAATATATATACTACAAAAAAAAAATTGATGTAAATGAAAGTCAACTCAGTCGTATTTTAGATATTATTACAATCCAAATCACGCTCGCGCATGCGCTGAACTTGGATTGTAATATCATAGTTAATATCTAAACATTGACTAAACAGATTAATTTGATGAGTGAGGTTTGAAGACTGACTATAAAAACTTTCTTAACATTATAAGATATCAACTGGAATATGACCTCTAAGTTAAATCACCATTTAACTAAATTGGACAATTTTTTTGGCCATTGACGGATGGACTTCATATCAATCATGTCTAAATTGATTCACAGACCAAGAAGACCATATTAATTAATTAAAACTAACCTGAAAAAAAAAAGGAAATTCAAGTTAATATTGTAAGTACGTACCAGAAACGATCATTTCCAGACGGCCACATGAGATTTGTGAACTTGTCTAAACTTTCTTGACTTGTTGCATCTTCAATGACCATGCCTTCAAAAGTTGGATTCTGAGGTATTTGGCCTATGTACCCAAATAACTTATCTGGGTTGGATTTATTTTTCAATTTCCTCTCAATTGGGAGATCAAATAACTCCTCAGAAGCAAGAAATATGGCATCATTTACCTCTTTTTTGATGGTTGGATAGTGAATGATGAAACTAGTGTGATCTTCAAAAGCATCTTTGATTTCCTTGCAAGCTGAGAACCAAGAATTTGTGCCTGGATTTACTGCCTCCTCGGAAAAATCTATGACGGGAAGCTTCACTTCTGTTTTGGAACCCATAATTTTTATTTTTTTTTTATGAGTGACAACTGAAGTACAGATGAATGGTGCAGATTGAGATCTTTTTATAATGTGTTGAAAGCAACCGGGCTAAAGTAAAGGTCAATAACTGAAAATATATGTGACAAAATAGTAGTTCGCCAATAATTAAAATAAACTATATATGTACCCTGTTTACCCGAAAAAAAAAAAACTATATATGTAAAATTGTATAAACCACCTAATCCTTACGTTTGTTTTGTTTGTTTATAGAGAAAGAATCAGATTAAGCATATAATTAGACACGCCATCTTTTTGTATCCATTTACGCGTTCACATTCGTTCACATTTGCTTTACAAAACCAACTGATCACATGCGTAAAATTAAAATTCCACTACTTGATCCTGAAAAGATAAATTCTTATTCTTAAGTAAAGGTTGTGTGATGTGATTACAAATTGGAATTGGAGTCATTTCCAATCACGATGATCACTATTATTATTTTTTTGAATAATATAATAATTGCTTGGACGTTTGTTTATGTAGGTAACAAGGATAATGGAAGGTTGGAGGTGAAAATAGAAATACAACGTGAAGAGAACTCTAGAGAGGTTCTGTCGATAAGTACGTCGGTATTAATAACTAACTCGATGACAAAATTGACGAGAGTATTTTTCAATTTTTCCTAGTTGTCAGGTTTTTTTTTTCCTTCCATATTTTTTACTTTTATTTGGTTTCTTTGAATATTTTTGACTAAAATATTAATTTTAAGAATTTTTAAATAATTCGTGACATGTGAAAATATTCAAAAAAGGTTATTTAAATTTGTAGAAACAGTTGAGGTCACCTCCAGAATTGACTTATAAGTTGAATTGTCATACAGAAGTTGGCTTCCTTTTTCTCTCTTTACTTGAATGATGAAAGCCGGCCTCTTTTGTTGAATTAGACTTTTGAAGTGTTGTAAAATAAAAAAACGTAAGAGAATTTTATGTTTGTAATCATTTATGGGTTAATTGTTGGGTCATATGAATCTACTCGCACTTGAAACAATCTTGCCCTGTATTCTAGTATTTTAAATTGGTAGATATTTATTACCTATTTCATAATCATCAATTTGTTTTCGTCATAAAGGTTAAGGTGATGATCAATTAGGGTTTACCTAGGTTTGTGTGAACCCATCCAGTTATAAAATGTGTTGCTAATAATGACTTTGTTTATAAAGTGATAGAGAGAAACAAAATTAAATAGAGATATACATGTTCTCGAAATTAATAGGGGAAAAATAATTAACTAAACGCGGAAGGGTTAAAATTGAAAAACATTTTGATATATTTGACACAAAGAATGAACTAAAGAGAGCCTCTACAGTTAGTTTTCTCACAAAAATAAATCGTATGTATTGTCCTAGTATTCTATGTTTGATGGAAATAAAATGTAATAGCGGTAAGGTGTGTAAATGGCTAAGGTCCACACATTTTGAGTCTTGGAAGATTGTGAAACCTCTAGGCATCGGGGGAGCCATCTGCGTAGCATGGGATAAAAGTCTGTAACAGTAAATGTATTAGATGCAACTCAAAATCTTGTACTCGTGTCTGTAAAAGAGTCATATGGTATTGAATGGAGAATGGGTTTTGTCTATGTGAACCTGTTGCAAGTAGACGCGCAGGGGTCTGGGAATGATATAGCTCAGTTTGGAAACTACAATGGTCCTTTTGCTCTTATGGGAGACTTTAATCAAATTCTTAACAGTATTGATAAAAAAAGTGGTAGTAAACCAAATAGAAAGGTGAAAGAGGACTTGCGGGGGATGCTAAGGGTTCTGGATGTAGCGGAGATAAAGCATAGAGGGGTATGGTTCACATGGTCCGATGGTAGGAAAGGTAACGAAGAAGTCAAGGAGAGGCTTGATAGGGCATTCGCAAATTCGGGATGGTTATCACTATTTGATCAGGCAATCCTTGAAAACATGCCTAATTATGCGATCATACCATGGACCCTTAGGGTGTACGGAAGGGTAAGCCGAAGTTTGAGAGTTTATGGACAAGGTATGAGGCAGCGACAGAGATCGTAGGACACAGTTGGATGACAAACTCAGGACTCAGAGTAAAGGACAACAAGGCAGCTGGTCTGTCAAATTCCCTGGAAACTGTTATGAGGCACTTGATGAATTGCACAGGCAATCCATAAGGAGGATTGATGTAAGGATAAAAAGACTTATGAAGGAGCTTGAGGAAACACAAATGAACGGAGGTGAGGACCGTAGGCTGAGGGAAGAGTTAGATACGCTTCTGGAGGACAAAAGGGAATATTGGGAGCAAAGGGCTAAGGTGCGTTGGGCCAATGAGAGTGAAGGAAACACAAAATTCTTCCACAACTGGGTACAAAGGAGAAGAGGGAGGAAATATGTAGCAACTAAAGGATGAGGATGAAAATTAGACAACAGATCAAGGCCAAATGCAGAGCTTGATGCTAAATCATTTTAAGCAAGTTTATGTAGAAGAAGATATAGTAGAGGAGGAAGCAAATGGCTTCTGTACGATGGAGGAGGTACTAGGGATGGTTGATAGAAGAATTGATGAGAGAAGTCGGGATCACTTGGTCCTGACAAGTTACTCGAGGGGAGATCAAAGACGCAGTGTTCCAGATGGGGAAGTGGAAGGCGTAAGGGGAAGATGGTTTTCCTCCAGGTTTCTATCTGGAGTATTGGCCGATTGTAGGGGATAGCCTAGTGAAAGCAGTGTCACAGTTATTTGAGTCTGGTGTTATGGAGCAGGCATGGAATAAAATAGTAATTGTGCTTATTCCAGAGAAGACAAACCCCGTTAGACAGGAAAAGTTTCGTCCGATCAGCCTTGGCAATGTTACCTATAAAGTAGTGGCCAAGATTCTGGCAAATCGACTCAAAGGGGTGATCAACGAGGTGGTACAACATAATGAAGCGGCATTTGCTTCAGGAAGGTCAATAACTGAAAATGCCATTATAGCCCACATAGAATTCATCAAGGGGAAGAAGGACGGGAAAAAGAGTTACTCAACAGTGAAACTTGATATGAATAAGGCATACGACAAGGTGTCGTGGACCTTTCTTGATAAGGTCATGGAGAAGATGGGATTCCAACAAATCTTGGGTCAATGCAAGGGTTGTTTATGATATTCGGGAATTTCTGAGTAGACAATGGGTTGTACAACACAGACATGTTTTCTGGGAAGCTAATTTTGTGGCGGACTATTTAGTGTCCTTAGCAGCCTTAGGATCGGGAGGCCTATAATGACTTTTGAATCCACTGTTAGGGGGTTAAAGCTTCGTTGGAGTATGATGTAATTGGAATTACATACCGTCACAATGTGCTTGTTTGATATTAGGCATTCAAACCTCTTCTTTTGAAAAAAAAAAAAAAGTTTGAAATTCAACTTTTGACGCAATCTTTATTTTCATTTGACATATAATTAAGAGTAATGATTGGTAAAGGAAAAAATGACAAGAAAAAATTACAAGTAATTGATCTCACACATCTATTGTTAAAACTTTTCAAACAGGCTTTATGTATTTAAGGTTAGGGTATAGTTAAGATCTTGGCACATCATTCTTTATCATTTTTCCTTGTTATTTTTTTCTTGTACCTATCACTACTTATTAACTATAATTAATATGAGGACAATGGAATAAAAAAAAATTGTAGATTACTTGTGATTTGAACCTCGCCAAACCCCCTGCGGTTTTTATTCTACATTATAACTTTAAATAAATTTTAAGTAGTAGAGTTAACAAATTGCGGGTTGTAGCTCAGATTGTATAGCGCCCGCACAGCAAGCGACAACTACGGGGATCGATATCCCCGCTCCTTGATGGGGATGTAGCTCTGAAAGTTGAGCGCTTTGGCTTTTTATATTTCTTTCCCACAGTAGTCGTAGTTTTCTGACATTATCCAAGTCCTCCAAGAATTCATTCATAATCCCCAGCATTATGAACTCCACGGAAAATGTAAAACCAGCCTAGGTTAAAAAAAAAAAGAAAAGAAAAAGAAATACGACGATTGGCGGAGGCTTTGCATTGGGGTTGGAATAATGTTAGGATTTCCACTTTTTTTGCTATCTTGGTCTGTTAAGTTTTTATTGTTTATTAATGAGCACCAGCTGCATGTGAGGGGGTCATTATTTTTTGTGAGTATTTGTCGGTTTTGTTTTCGGTTCTTCTAGGAATTGAGGATGGTTAATGTAATGATATATTCCTGAGTCGGGATTAGGACTCCAGAATTAAAGAGATAGAGGAGAAACTTTTAACAAACTAAAACTTTCATTGATATCTTTTTGTTAGGTTAGTAGGTTGGAAGTTATATATTTATAGATTAATTAATCAACAATTATAAAGTAGGGAAGAATCAGCATGAAATTGACAGTATGATAGCAACCAATTTTGGAAGATTTTTTTTTTCTTTTTTCATTGTATCTCAGAGAATTCGAGGAGCTTAAGTTTGTCACGCTTCATATAGGCGCGCATCGGGCTCTTAACTCATATAACAAAGATTAAGGACGGATTGGTGATCGAGAAAAGCTCCATTCTGCATACACGGTTTGAAGTATAAGGTGCAACTTAAGATTACTTTTGGGCAGAAAGTGGAAGAAGTGCGCTTTATTAATCTTCCTGCTATATATCCATTGAGGAGATTATTAGCTTGATTATTATCATATTACAAAAAGTAGAAGCACCAAATTCTGGCAGTTTAATGAATACATATATAAGGAATTGAATAGCACTCCCTTCATTCCAATAAGAAATAAAATAATTATTTTGAGATGGAAATACTACATAATACTCCTTCCATTTTAAATAAAGAGTCATCAACTAACTTTCACATAGTTTAAAAAATAATTTAAAAAACTCTTAAATATAGTAAGTCAATTACTAGAATATCCCCAAACTAGAAACAATGGTTGCCATTCTTGCTCTTTCTTTCGAGACTAATTTTAGAAAAATTTAGCTAGCAATTGTTTTGAAATCTGAAAACAACACTTATTTTAAAATTTCTCTGTTTTACTAGAATGGAAGGAGTACATTTTGTATTTGTGATCGAGGGTATTGTTTGAGTTCCACTACCTTCAAGTAGTCCAAGAACAAATGCGTATGCTACAGCTGCTGAATGATGATGCATATAAAAGCGAGCGAAAATGGGAAAGAGAATACAGCCCCGAGCCAAATATAAATTTCATGACACTAATCCAACTGGAGACCTCATTAATTAATCCATTGTTATTCCAGCACTCTGAAAATTTTTCCTACTATCTTTATCCCGAAAATATTTTTATAGAATAAGTTTAATATAATAAACAAAACAATTATTTTTAGCACGGAAGGAGAAATTGTCATTTTGGCTCAATCTTTTGATTTCTTCGTTTCCTCCTGTTTCTTCCTAAGTGAACCAAGCTCTTTCATGTACTAATCGAGTCTGTCGATCATCAATGCAAGAAATAACATAAAACCTGGATGAAGAAGTGATAAATATATTTTATAGCTTTTCCAACTTATTTTTAAAGGAAACTGTCAAAGAATAAAAATCCTTCAAAAATTGAGAGAAAGCACAATAGTTCAAAAGAAATGGATAAATTATGTAAAGTTTCCCCCATAGTAATAATCTTGTTTAGAATTGCAATGGTAGAACAGATAAATCACATTTATTATTGTATTTTCTTTAATTTGATTCATTATTTTATGTTTACTTGTAATTAACTTATATACATAATCATATATATCAGTTAAAAAGTCGATATGAAACCATAAATATGAAGCATAAAAATACGAATTTAGTTTTTCTAGGACAAACACATTTTGGAACCAGTACCACTATTATGGGTAAGAAGCTTGTATACATGACTATGAATTTATCATAAACATATTTTTTAACTAAGTAATTTTTTTATTATTTTTTTTTAAGAAATAAATTTTGAAGGCGGACTAGATCATGCTTTCAATGGTTCTGATGATGAAGATTTCAATATAGAATATGCAATGTAACAAGAGTCTTTTTACAGTGGAGTTTCTGCTCCAATATATCACAATCGATCGAAAAAATCCAAGGCTAAAACAAAAGTTCGAGTTTGTCGATCAGCTAGATTGAATAAGGATTCAAATTTAATTTAAGATTAAAATTGTACTTATATAGGATTTAGTGTATTCGCTGCCCTATTTTTCTATATCGTTTATAAAATTATTTTTAATTAAAAAAAATCTAATTAATGGGTGGTAGATTGAAGATAAACAAAATGTACATGCAGACACATAATTATTGTCCAATTTGAATTTTTAGTTTTAGTTTAATTTGTACTAAAAATAAAAATCCAAACTAGAAAAATCATTTTTGGGACGAATGGAGTACTTCTTACGTCTCATTTTATTAGTCAATTTCATTGAAATAAAGCATTACAAAGTGGATAAGTGGGATGTGGCAAAAGAGTATTGAGTTTTTGTCCGTCAAAATTCATTAAGTAATATTGAACAATGCATGAGAACGAACTCGTCTGATTGCGATCGAAAGTTACCTGAATCAGTCTCACCGATTGCAAAAATATTTGTATGATGTGTACACCTAAATAAATATGATGTGCAAAAATTTTGTCCAGCTTTTTCCCCCCGAGAATAAAGCTCAATCTCGGTATGTTTTTCCAAATTTGAGTTGGCATTTGATATCTTAAGACTCAAATTTTGAACTTTAACTTTCGACACAAATTTTGTTTTCATTTGACATAAAAACATGCGGACAATGGTTCTGCCGATGTACAAATGAAGCCAAAAAATTTTGGGGACGAAGATGGTGGCGGCGACTTTGGGGACGGTGGAAAATTTGATGGGGAACTTGGGGTGGCAGCGGAGGTTGTGGAGTTTTGGAGGAAGTTGGGAAATAATATTTATTTATTATTAATAAATAAAATAATATTTTAATAACTAAATAATGAATGTAAATTTTATAATATTTTTAATGATTTAAATTTTAATGAAAGTTCAAATTAAATGAAAAGACAAAAATCTCCCTAATTCTGGCATGTCAACGGTTGGTCAACATCGAGTTGAACGGAAAAATGACCGAAATAGTGAAATGGGACTAAAAAAGTTTGAAAACATAATATTTGAGACTACGATATTGAAATATTAATGTTAGGGACGTAAATAAAGTAACCCCAAATGTAAGGGACCATATTGACATTTTAGTCACCTAAATAAATATGATGTGCAAAAAATTTGTCCAGCTTTTTCCCCCGAGAATAAAGCTCAATCTCGGTATGTTTTCCCAGTTTGAGGTTGAATTTGATATCTTAAGACTCAAATTTTGATCTTCAACTTTCGACGCAAATTTTGTTTTCATTTGACATAAAATATGAGGACAATGGTTCTGCGGATGTATAAATGAAGCCAAAAAAATTTAATGTGAACCTCCCACCCTGCCTGCGTATTTTATTCTACATTTAACTTTAAATAAATTTTGAAGTTGAACATTAACAAGTAGCGGGTTGTAGCTCACATCGTGGAGCACCCGCGAGCAAGCAATTACTTCGGGGTTCGATACCCCGCGTCTCCTCCATGGGGATGTAGCTCCTCAAGTTGAGCGCTTGCTTTGTTTTTTTTTTTTTTTTTTTCTTTCTTCCCCACAGTAGTCCTAGTTTTATGACATTATCCAAGAATGCCCTCTTAGTTGCAAGCATTATGTTCTCCACGGAAAATATAAAAGCCCAGG